AGGTAAAGTTGTCGATTTTTTCTTGATTTTACAAATGACAGATTGGGTCATTGACCATTTCTGTCATTTACACAATTCTAGGACCCAATATGAAATTTCCTATATTTCAAGAGCTTTTCTGGGATTTTTCCTATAAAAAAATATATAATTATTATATTTGTATATATTGTAACTCTATAGAAAGAACAGTGGGAAGGGGACTGCATATATAAAAATAATAAGTTGGATTTCCGTGCCCCCCTCGCACCCAAATTTTTCTTTCAAAAGAATTTTCCCCAACTTTCCTTTTCTTTGTTTCTTTTTTCTAGCCTTTCTCAATGATTTATATGATTCTTTTATTCTTTTAACTAGTATAGTGCATGTGCAATGCATGGGTATGGATTGGTGGTTTCTTTTATATAAGATAAAAAGTTGAATTATCACAAAATAATTAGTTGAATATTACATTACTATTTCAAGTCATGATTTCAACTTAATTTAAAATAAAATATCACTAAGCTTTTGAAATCTACAGTATAGGTAGATCATTATCAACATTTTTAGAAATATGCTATATATGTAGGTATATAAATGGATGTTCCTTTAAAAAGATTGAATTAATGGAGACAAAAGGGTTAATGGATTGAAACTCAAATATTTGATTATATTCAATAATTACACAGATAATGTCATGGTCAATAATATTATATTGGACAAATATGATATCTGATTCTGTATTGTAAAAATAGGCTATTTAATACAAAAAAATTAATGGAGACAAAATGGTTAGTAAGTTAAAATATTTTGAAAACCACACAAAAATATACTTCCATAAGTTGAAAGTAGTTGTCATGGCCAATAACTTCAGGAATTGACAATATAAACATAAAATAATATAAAACTACCAAAACAATATCAAAATATCCATATTCAATGTAAAAATGGAACCTCGTGGCCACCACCATAAAAAATAATAAAATAAGACTTCCAATATAATCTTATGAGAGTGATAGCCCTGTCATCTTAGCTATCCATGTGAAAAAAGAAAAAGAGGGGTGTGCATGGCAACATTCATGGCTATTCAAATAACTGTGATAATTGAGTAACTATCATAACCCCTATAACTCTCCCCTAGCATACACAAATATCGGACGCACACTGGTTGTTTTCTCCTGAAATCCGCATACCCCATAGAGTTAAGATTGAATTAGTATTTAATATAAAACATAAAATGTGTTGATTATCATAATGATAATTAGGAAATTCACTATTTGAGATAATTAATAATAGACAAATGTCAAATAAAATACAAAATAGGTTCACTATTCAATATATTAGGAAATTGAGTAGTTCGTATTCTTAAAATTACATACTAGCATTAAAAAAAATCTCAACTAATATATTTAAGTTTGTATTTCATTTTTTTTATTAAGCTAATCCATAAAAAACATCGATTGTTTTTCTTAAAAATTAATATTTTATTTTATTTTAAAATAAATTTTAATTCTAAATAGCAGAAGTAAAATAAATTTTCACTTGAATTAGATTTCAAAATAATTCATAAATAAAAGATAATAAATATTTCATGTATAAATAATAGTTTAGATTTAGGGTGTGGATATTATTTTCAATATACTAACAGACCAACTGAAATTAAATTTCAAGCATAATTAATTTTAAATAATGCCATCAAATTTTAAATTTTGAACATACACCATGCCTTGCATATATGTCACGATTTTCGGAATAAGAGAAGTTATATAATTTTATTTATTTTTCTTAATTTAAAATATTTGCATATAAAGGGTATTTTGGTTTTTACAAAAAACGAAAAGAAAAAATAAGGCTCATTATTGGAGATAATTACAATAAATTCTGTAATAAATCAGAATTAATTGAATTAATAAAAAATTAATATTTTATTTTATTTTAAAATAAATTTTAATTCTAAATAGCTGAAGTAAAATAATTTTTCATTTGAATTAGATTTCAAAATAATTCATAAATAAATAATAATAAATATTTCAGGTATAAATAATAGTTTAGATTTAGGGCGTAGGATATCATTTTCAATATACTAATAGACCAATTGAAATTAAATTTCAAGCATAATTAATTTTAAATAATACCATCAAATTTCAAATTTTGAACATACATCATGCCTCGTATATATGCCAAGATTTTCGGAATAAGAGAAGTTATATAATTTTATTTATATTTCTTAATTTAAAATATTTGCATATAAAGGGTATTTTGGTTTTTACAAAAAATAGAAAAAAATAAGACTCATTATTGGAAATAATTACAATATATTCTGTATCAGAATTAATTGAATTAATCAAAAAATTATAAAAAATAAATATGATCAAACTAATTTCCAAGAAAAACGTATAAATAGAGAGATCATGGGTAGAAATGTGGCTTTAACAAAAATAAAAAATAAAAAATTTATCTGCAAACAATTCAACTAAAAAATATATAAACAATACATCCCAAGAATTCAACTAAAACCACTTAAATAAAAAAATATTGTATTATGAGAGATAACTAACTGATTATACCACAAAAAGAGATAGGTAGTAGGAATAAAGAGGAACATGCATTATGGTGGTGAATAACGTATAAATAGGGAGTTGGACATAAAATTTTGGCTTTAGAAAAAAGAAACCCATTTATCTTGTAGTGAAGCCAAGTGACAGTCTGTTAATAAGTCATACTTTGTACTATAATTTTATATAGTAATGGATATTTTTAACAAATGTCAGTGATATTTAAATGTCAAAAAAATAGATATTATCACCCACCAAAAAAATAGATATTATCTTTTTAAAAAACGTGAAACTATTACCTTTCCATGGCTAGTTAGTTACAATGGGGTGGGCCAAACGAGTGAATTGTGAAAAATATCAAAACACATGACCGCTCTCGCAAATAATGAGAATTGGGTCTAGTGAAAAGGATTAGTCCCTTACAATTTGACAAACCAAGTTTTGAATTCTAACCGGAAGAGGTGTCCATATTTCGTGCCAGACAATGTCTCAAATAGAATTACCTCTAATAGGAGAATATCTATGTTTTTTAAATTAAAAAAACCACTCTGGCGAAAAAAAAAACAAAATTAAGACACAAAACCAACTGAAGTCCAAAATTGCACGTTCATTGCCGCTTTCCTCCCCTGCAACTATTTTCATGTCATCTCCATGCTTCTCAGCTACGTTTCCTCGCTCCGTCTTCAGAATTTCATTCTCTCCCTATTCTGATCCTTCACTTTCTCTTTCTGATTTCTCATCCTCTCCTTCCTCTCCTCTGAAACTTCTTTCCCCTGAATCCCTCTTTCTAAGGAGTCGAGAAAATGTCACACGCCGATACCATACCTCTGCACCAATCGTCCCAGTCCGACATTGACGAGATCGAGAACCTCATTCGTGCTAGCGTCCAATCGGGACCCACCACGGTTCTCCCTGCCAGACCTCCTAGTCCTCCTCGAGCTTCAATTCCTGTATCTTCGTCGCCTTATATGCCTGTTGGTATTCCACCTCCGCCGAAATCTTCCAATCAGAAGCCACCGGCTCTTCCCGCTCCTCCTCCCCCGATTCCACCTCCGGCCAACAATGGACGTCCTAATATTACGCCCAGTGGATTTGGCTCGCCTCCGGACACGTTGACAGAGCCGGTCTGGGACACCGTGAGAAGGGATCTAACGAGGATTGTTAATAATCTGAAGCAGGTTGTGTTTCCTAACCCCTTCCGCGAGGACCCCGGGATGGCTCTGAGGGATTGGGATCTATGGGGACCCTTCTTCTTTATTGTTTTCTTGGGTCTTGTTCTTTCATGGTCTGCATCTGTCAAGAAGGTATGCATGCAGCTGCAGATAGTCTCTTGGTTATTTTTGGTGGCTAATTTGTTTTTTAAAAGTTCGTTCGCAGAGTTTACGAATTAATTAATCTTGGAAAGCTGAGTATCTTCTTTCGTTTTTCAATTGAGATTGTGAAAATAACATCATCTGCATTCCTGAGCCAACGCTGAGAACTGAGGGCTTCATTTGTCTGTATATATGAAGTGTGAATGTAGGAACTGTTATAATATGTTGCTGCGTTGAAACTTGTTATTTTGCATTCAGACGTTTCATGGTGATTCCCCTTCAAATACGTGGTTTTGAACTTCCGGTCAGACTTCAGTTGATGATTCTGATAAATTTCTGTGGATGATCTTCACTGGTAGATGCTATATGGACTGGTCTAAAATGGTTCTAATTCTACTCATTTTTTATCAATTTAGAGGTGTTCTGGACTTCTGGTCCTGTGGATGTTACTATTTGAAGACTCTGAACAATGTGTCAGGATGACGTGTTGTAGGAGAAATTTCTGCATGCTTATTGTATATTATAATGAAACCATTTATAGGTGCATTAAAATAACACACCATATGTTCAGGGCCTAGCACCATCAAACTTCCGTGAAAGGATTCTTTCCCGTGCTGGACATGCCCTTCATGTTCATAACAGCTAAACCCCGAGGTTCCATGTTTAATTAGCCAAAGCATAGGCAAAACATTAGTTTTGAACTCGAAAATTAAAAGAAAGACAAGAAAAAGGATGTTCAATATATATAACAATTGAAGATTTACCAAACACATGGTATATATGTTTTAAGATAAATCGCCAATGTAACCTACAAATATTAGAAGCATTTAACAAACTTTCCTTTACTTACAGTGTCATTCACTGAGGTCTCTGTTTAGGCTCTTGAGATTCATCATATGTTTGTGTAGCTGGTGCAAGAGAATGATACTTTGTTTTAGGATACAGATTCCGAACACCCTATTTCGATGCACTCACCAGCTGAATGAGCTTGCAAGCTGTCCCTTTACAAAATAGCCAGGCTAGTTCTGTGAACATCCACTAAGATGGAAAACTCTTTGTCCATATGATGTGAGCTAGGTTCTTAAGAAGTATTTATAATCTATGCCAAATTGACATTGCTTTTCCACCAGAAAGATAGAGGCTATGATAGAATTTTGAACGCGCTATGAAGCCATAGTTGTGATAATGATAATGATCGCTATATTTGTGGAAAAATTGTAGTAGTTATTAAGCAGCAGCTCCAATATGTGCCAAATTGCTGTTGCACTCCCACAACAGTAGTGGATGTTAAATGGAATTTTAAACCAGCTATGAAGCCGTAATAGTGATGATGATGATTAAAAGTTTTCCACAAGATGTTGGTACAGAGCTTATATCCATCTGGTTTTAGCGGGATACTTTCAATTCATGGTATGGCATTTGGTTCTTCAAGTGTTAATGTATTGTTATTGTGCGCAAACATGCTCCTGATAGAATAGAGCATATTATTTTTTCACAGTGAAGTAAAAGCTTTACAAGCCTGGTTTCTTTTTTTTTTTTTTTTATTTCATTAATTGGATAGAAGCGCAAGATCGGGCATATTGTTTTGTCCAACTTCGTAAGTTTTCTTTTCTATAGTTCCTCGGTTCTGCATATTTACTTCTGGAAGGTATATTTGCATCTTTAGTAAAGATGATCTATAACTTGCTTCAAATGCTTTAAAGAGGTATATTTCACCTCACTTTCTGGGAACTCTGCTTAACTATGTTCAATTTCCTCGTTCATGCCCCCCTCCCCCTCGGTTTTTTGGTATCATGTTGATGTGTTATATTATTACAATGATAGTTTATTTGGCTTGGTTTGAATTCATACTAACTGTTAATTTTGATTGTTTGCCAGTCTGATGTCTTCGCTGTTGCATTTGCGTTACTTGCTGCTGGCGCTGTAATATTGACATTGAATGTCCTGCTTCTGGTAGTAGTCTCTATTATCGTATCAACCTTTTTTCAGTGTTTTCTTCAAGGCAAAATAATTCTATTATCCTTTTTTATACTATCTCCGGTCCTTAATATAAGACTCTGTTTGACTTTTATTTTGGTCCTAAATATAAGACTCCAATCCACTTTGTCTCTCATATTTATATTTTTTTTTTCCAAAGTAGCCCTTCTAATAATGATAGTTCTAATTAATACACTTGATTAGCAATGATATTTTTGGAAAGACAACAACTATTTAGGATAAATAACTAACTCAACTTACTTCCTTAATCTCCTCAAATTAGTCAATTGGCTCTTATAATTAGGACCGGAAGTGGTATTAACAAAAAAAATATTTTTATTCTTTTTGATTTAATTGGGTATACAAATTTTCTATTCAGGGCCAAAGTTTAAAAAAACAGTATTTTATTTTGACATCATTGTACTTCTCCCTGGGATCATTTTGACGTGCTGTTGTCGAAGGGGTTGAAATGGCGAGCATAACCCTTAAGTGCTTTATAGTCAGAAATTGGGCCTTCATATTGCCTGGCCTGATTGACCCCTTTTAAGATTTCTGAGTTGGGCTGGGCTTTCCAAAAGAAATAATATAAAAACAATTGAAAAATAGATCATGCCGACATTAATAGGTCTTGTTACAAAGACAGAGGTCATATATTCATTCCCCAGAACTGGATCAAAACAAATCAACTAAAAAATATGAACTAAACTAAAATTTCCTAAACCAGGACAAATGATGTTTCATGACTTCACCTTCATTCCCCTATTCCTCTGCCTCCACATGCGATGAGATGGGCCAAAGCCATTTTGATAGCTGTGGGCCTTTCAATACAGCTAGGGTTGTATTCAATCTGAGCCGAACTCATTTGTTCAGGCCCCTCCAATATAAACTACGCAAGGCTAGAATTCTAACCCTGCTTTTGACAGAAGCAAACATTGGTCATCAAACTCAGTTTATTTAAGCTGGCGTGGTCATCATCATCATCATGTGTTTATAAATATATTGATCTGTATTCCAAGGATGATAGTGTTATGGCAGCAAAATAGCTGACGAAGTGTTTGCTCTTTTACTTGAAAATTGCAGGGTGGACAGATAATTTTCTTTCAGAGCCTGAGCCTTCTGGGATACTGCTTGTTCCCTTTGGACGTGGGTGCATTAATTTGCATGTTGAATAGAAGCGTGATGATCAAAATAATTGTCGTATGCGTGGCACTGGGATGGAGCTCCTGGGCTGCATATCCTTTCATGAGTGCTGCCGTCAACCCAAGAAGAAAAGCTCTCGCCCTCTACCCACTCTTCCTTATGTATGTATCTGTTGGTTTTCTCATCATTGCCATTGACTGAATTCATCCCTGCTTCTCCTTACTGCATTCCTTCCCATCTACTTCTCTGCGGAAGCTTTTTGTGTAAAAGCAGCCCCATTTTTTAAATTTTACCCCCCACCCCCTTACTCTTTTGTCCTTTTTGGTTAGCCTTTTTGTCAGCTAAAAATATAGTTGGTGACAGACGGTAATGTAGTTTCCTTCTAAAGTATAGTGGTTTGCCTTTTCTAGCAACGTTACTGTAGTGATCTCTTTTGTACTGTGTTTCCCTTCCCCATTGCCATGTGAATAATGTTCCGGGGTTGATGCCTTTTTTTTTTTTTTGGAATTACAATGGCAAGAAAAAGCTTGATAAAAAACATAGCTACTACACAGACTTAAGACCTAACAGGAGAAAGGTCCGTCCTTAGAAAAGTTGCACAGTCCAACGGTGGAGTCGCCATGATCTGCAAGGTCATCCATAGGGTGAGCTGTCTTTGCTAAGTGGTCAGCACATCTGATCTTGTTTTATCGAGTCTCTTCTCTTGGTGCATGATAGAGCACTAGGGTTGATGCCTTAATGGCTTTTGTAAGTCAATATTTCTTATGACTTTTGGGCTACAGAAAGCTAGTTGAGTGAATTTTTTCAACCTTCATAGGCTGCTGAGAAGGGTAATTTAAAATAAGACTTCCTTTTACTTTTCCCATTATCTCCTCTCACAATGAACATTAATATTTTGTTACTTGCCGTAAATTATCCTAAAATAATTTTGATTTCAGAAAGCGACGAAGGTTGGGCATGGGCTTTTATTAGTGTGTTCACAATAAAAATCCTGAGGAAGATGACCATAATGCATTGAGGTAATGAATGCAAAACAACAACAACAACATCATTTTAACTATTATTCTACAAAAATGTATTTATTAATTAAAAAATTACAGGCGCAAAACTTGAAAAATTAAAGATGGTTTGAATCTAATTTACACATATAAATCTGACTTTAAAATATATATATTAATTATTTAACTTGAAGGCGAGGGGGAAAAGTTTGTCTTTTAAGGGAAACAAATGATTGAGTCGGTGAGCGAGTCGATTTGCACCAATGTTGCGTTTTATTTCTAGCGTATATATATCACCTTCCAATAATTAAAAAAAAAACCACTATAATTGGTTTCAGTAAAAGTCGAAAGGCCCATATTTTAATCGTTTGCTGAACTTAATTTAAAATCGTGTAGCTAACCCTATAATCGCATTATCACTTACGTTTTTCTTTAATACGACGGTACCGTTTGGATGTTTGCCCAAACCATGGTTTGGGTAAAAAACTGCCCTAACAGTCATCCCAAAAACCAAACCATGGTTTTAGGTCAAAATCATGGTTTTGACTCCAAAACCATGGTTTTAGAAAAAGCAAAATTTTTTTGCTTTTGGAGAAAAGAGGGAGAGTGTGAGAGCCTATAGGATATGTATCTTGTTATTTTTTTATAAACATATTTAATCTTATATTTTATAAATATATATACATATTAATTATTTATTAATTATATTATCTTATGTATTATTAATTATGTTGGTAAAAAATATATTATTAACAATTTTATTCCTTCAAATTAAAATATATCATAAAATCTATTTTTCTGTAATTATCATATTAACTTATGTCTTTTTTTTTAGTAATTTGTGTATATAAAAAGTGCTTCTGATAACAACTATCCAAACACTCTCACTTTTTAAAATCACTCCAGAATCTATTCTTCACAAAATCTATTCTCCAGAATCACTTTTCCAAACCACGGTTTGGTTTCATCCAAACACACCCGAAGAAGACATGAGAAACCTGAAAACAGAAGTTAGCTAGTGATGGCAACATGCACATCATATATGAGTCACAACTCACAATACAAGAACTCCACACTCAGAGGTAATTAATTGAGTTGGGACATAATCATTAATCCATCATATTTATCCTCTAAGCTTGCTTGGCCTTTTTAAGTATTATGATCATTAGTTCATTACACACTGATCAATGGCGCATAATTAACTCCTTCGTTTCTTTTTAAAAAACAAGTGAAATCTTCACGTAGCAAGCCTTTAGGAGATCTGTGTTTAAACCCTGAGGCCAACTTATACATTGCTCCCTCAACCTCTTTTTATAAACAATCTTGGATTTCATTACGTAAATCAAAAAATTAGTTAAAGATAATAAATAGATAAAAATTAGGAGTTCTTTCTCCAAAATACTCTTATTTATAGAAGGAGAGTATAAGAAAGAGAATAAAAAATTTATTATAATAAAAAGAATTATGAAAAAGAGAGAATGTGTGATGGAAAGAGATGATAGTTTGGGAAATGATATAATAAATATATTAAGTATTAAAATAAATAATTAATAGGGGTAAAATAGGAAATCTGCTACAATAATTTAAGACAAATTGTAAATATTGCTTATATTTAGAGACAAAAAGGGAATGACAGTTGTTATTTACAAAAAGAGACAGAGAGAGTACTGTTTAGTGTCATTTTATAGGGATTGTTTGTAATACTTCTCCGATTCTTAATATAAGACTCATTTAACTAATTTGATTAGATTAAGGAAGTTAGGGGTAAGTTAGTTAATTATAAGAAATGTAACACGTTTTTCCTAAAACACCATAATCATCTTTCTTAATACCTCTACTCCCTCTTCTACTTAATTATGATTGAGGGAGTATCTATAGGAGTAATTTAAAGAAAATTAATAAATATGAGAAATGATTTTTATATTTAGGACCAAAACCAACTCAACAATTAGGTTTTATATTAAGAACCGAACGAGTAACTTGTAAGCATTCTTCTGATCCTATTTATAGTGCAGAGAGAAAAAAAATTGATCCTATTTATGAGACAAGTAGAGAAAATTTTATATGAATGTACAACTTTAAGCTTCATTTATTATTATGTTAATTTTGTTCTCATAAAGTATATTGTATATTAAATAAGAATAAAGTTAGAAAATTATTAAATTTTAAATGAGAGTTAATAAAGTTTAATATTTTTATTGGTATGTATAAAATATGTTGAGAGTGATTTATAAATAAAATCAAAAAAATTATCAATAATTTTTTGATCATGATTTATAAAATACATAGAAAGTACGTAAAAAGAATTATATCCCAGCTTATGATTGTGAATCCAAACGATCCCACAGCCCGTTTAGTTTTCATTGTTAATTAACAACACCAATTAGGTCCAGGGAGTAAATATCTGGCACTTTAAAACAAAATTGTTTTCTTACAGATGGTACCTGGGTGTAATTGTGCCAAAAAAGAATCTAGTGGGAATGATTTGAAAGTGCAAGCAGTGAGAGATGAAGACATGGAGTGAGAAGGAAAGAGATGAAAGGAGTGATTTTACGTAGGCATGAACAAAATGTACGGACAAGAACAGAGCAGAGAGAGAGAGAGAGAGAGGAAGAGAGGACTGTGTCTGGGTCACTGCCCTGACCTGTTCCGTTCTGAGGTTTCTGAAGCAATCTTTTGGGGTTAGCGTGATGCCATCACTCTCTTATTCGTTTTTTGGTTTTATTTCGGATTTTGGATTTCGGATTTGGTCCCTTCACGTCACCTCTCGCTCTCTCTTCTTCTCCCTTATTAATTACATCCCGCGCATTCATACGACCCATCAATGCAACCCTCCACACCCTACCCTACCCTCGCCTATAACCCATTTGATTCTCTGCCTGCTTCCACTCGGGTGGTTCTTTGCAGCGCCGCCGCCGATGGTCGACGTCCCTTTATGCCGGCGGTGATGATTTGTGCTCCGGGTTATTCTTCCGTCGTCTTTTTGTCTTCTGCTTCCTATCATTCGTATTGTGATCTCTTCTTTTTCTGCAGCTTTGTGTTCTGCCTGCGCTGCTGCTTAATTTGTCTTTTCCGTTGTCTCGTGTTACCTGCTGGATATTGAGGTCGGGTCGGGTTATACTTTGTTCTCATTTTACGGGATGATGAGACGGTAACCGAAGTTTAAAATACTATGCGCTGGCAGGAGGGAAAAAAGGTCCTTAGATATTTTTAAAATATCTACTAAGAGAGTGTCTGCTAGAAAATAAATCATAAATTTAACAAAAAGTACTTCTTAGAATTATTTTTACTTATTACCAAACATCTCTCTAAAAAATATTTTTTATGATATATGAAGTAAATATATTTTGAAATTTTATTTCATAATATTTTTGCTTTCATCCGATATCTGTCATTAAATTTAATAATTAAAGATATCAGTTAAACTGTATAATTTGATAATCAATTTTATTAGCAAAGTAAACTTTCAAAAAATATAAAAGTTAAAAAAAAAACTTTCAAGATATTCAACGACTTTATTAAAAAAAAAAAAAGTTTACAATGGATGCCAAACCGACCACGAATTTTGCTTATAATACAGTAGTGGTTTTATCCATTAATTTAACACTTGGAACTATAAAATTAAATAAAAATACTATCAAGCTCATTGGGCTACATATCACTTTGAATGTGGGGTTTTTATTCATAAATTTTGAATCACTGATTCTCTCTGCTTTTTTTTTTTAAGATCTCTTTTTATAAGGACATTGAATATGAGAGAAAAAATAGTAAGAAAACTGTAATGTTTATGTAATTAATATAAACAATAGAAAATAAAGTTAAAAAATTAAAAAAAAAAAAGGAGAATTAGAGAGAAGGACCAGCTTAAAATCATATTTATTAAAAATGATAATAAAAATTATAACTATCAGGAAGGACCAAATATTAAAATATTAATTTAAAAGTATTAAATTGCCCATAGCTAAATATCCTAACTTTCCTCTTGTCTTCAATTTAAAGCGAAAGGCAAAACTACCCATTATCCTATAGTAGTATCATTTTTTTTCGGCGAAAAGTATCATTTGTTTTTTTATCTGAACTTTGCATAAAATTATGATATATGACCTGATTTTTTTAATTTTATTAACATTACATCATTTTTAAAAAAAGATTTATATGAATTTCTTGTAAAATTTAAAAAAATTATACAAATTTTCTTTGAGTGTTTTAAAAATCACGTAATCTTTTTACTTTCTAGACGCATATAACATTTTTTAACATATATAATAAATAATAAAATGAGTCTAAATTTATATAAAATTATATAAATTTTAATTTCAATTAAAGTCTATGGTGATTTTAAAAATAAAATTTTAATTATTTTATAAGGAAAATAAAACTTTAATTTCTAGATGACTGAACTTTGTGTATTTTCTTCAATTAATTTTTACGCAAATAAATAAAACTTTAATTTCTACATGACTGAACTTAGTGTATTTTCTTCAATTAATTTTTACGCAAGTTTCAAACTTTGAAAAAAATCAGGCTTGGTTTATTAAAATTTATTAATTTGTTTTTTAAATAAAAGAATTATAATTTTTATAATTTCTTTTTAGTGTACATCACTCACTCTTGTTACTTCTTTCAAATTCTCCCAAAAAAAAGCAAAAAAAGAAAGATTGAGGTTCTTCGCCCAAATCCGAAGAGGGGCAGATATTATGAAGTAATTAAGGCGCCCCACCTTTGAGCAATTAACGCTGTGACACGTGTCCTATGACTGCGTTCCGTAGTGGCGTAATCATCCCTCCCGCCCCCCAAATCTGGGTTAGTATCCCACACCAGCTAGGCTGCCCTTTCCTCCACCCTACCTAGCCCCTTCCTAATTCTACGCACAGATCCCCCTATTTATCTCCCCTCTTAAATATTAATCATAATTACCCTGGCCTCCAAAATATATTTATTTTTTTGTTGTGTTAATTTTTTTAGAAAGTAAATAAGAATAAAGTTAAAAACTTGATGAATTTTCTGGTAAAAAAAAACTCGATGAATTTTAAAGCAATGCTATCAGAATTTTAAGTTTTTCTGATTTATCTGAAATACTGAATGTAAGTTATAAATACCACTTACTTGACCCAATTTTGACTCTCCATTTATTTGTTGGTTGCCGTGTGGAGTAATTGTGGGTTGACTGCGACTAATAAATGTCTTAATTATGTGTGAATCAATTTTCGAAACACCAACTGGCTTTAATTATGTTCAACGACATATGTGCATCAATTAATATAATTTTTCTTTTAAATGAGAGGGTCAAATAAAGTCAAACCACATAATCATCACACTGTTAGGCAGCCAGCGGTCAATCAATATATTATACGCGTGGGTGTGAGCCTTGGATGAGTTGGATCTAACAACTAGAGGTGTTCACGGATGGGACGGGATCGGGACAGGCCCGTCTCGGTCCCGTCCTGATGAACAGAAACGGGACAAGGTTTTAATCCCGTGTCCCGTCCCGTTCCCCTCCCTTTTTTTTAAAAAAAAAACTATAATTTTTTATATGAAATTTTTTTATATTATAATACTTATTTTTTATTAGGCTTTTAAAGATAAAAACATTATAAAAAATATTATGTAGAAAGCTCAATTATATAGTATAAAAAAGGTGTAAAAACAATACTGTAACAAAAAAAAACAGATAAAAGAAACACTATATAATGGCTTTATGAATTATTTTATTGAAGAAAGAGATATTGTTCAGATAATATTACAACTTAAGAGTTAAAAATCACTATAAAAATAATAATTATTATTAATAAGTAAATTGAATAATATAATAATAATTATTAATAAATAATTTTTTTAAAAAAAATATCCCGGGACGGGACGGGACGGGACAACCCCGTCCCGCGTCCCGTCCCGTCCCGGTCATTGTCTCGTCCCGTCCCGTCCCGAAATTTTTTTTGTCCCGTCCCGTCCCGTCCCGAACTCACCGGAACCGGGACAGGACGACCGGGACGGGACAAATTGAACACCCCTACTAACAACGGACTGATATTTAGATTTTTATTTGGGAAAACCATATTTCTACTTATATTTTTTCCTCAATTTTTAATTTAATATTTACGTGTTTTTTAATTAAATAATTAATATTATTTTTTGAGTAACATTAATTCTTGTAACTTTGTTCTATTGGTATTTATATAGTCTTTATGTAAAGGTTAACAATGTTAATAGAACAAAATTAAAAATTAAATTAAGAAAAAAAATAAGTACTAAATTGGAAATTAAAAAAAGTAGAAGTACCTCCAAAATAGATTTTCTTTCTATTTTTTGGCCATCAATATTTGGATTTCAACAGAGTGTTGATTTTTTTTTTTTGCCAACAACAAAAGAATGCTGATTTTAATAACTGTAAATATGATAAACATGGGCATGGGTAATTGCCCAAGTCAATTTGGTTTTTTCTTTGTTTTGTTATGTTCATTCAGTTTCCCAGTTTTTTCAAAAAGCTCTTTCAGTTTTTTATGTTGAATTCGCTGAGAATCTCGGTTAAAACCAACCCAAAAAGTTGCTCCTCTTATTCTAAATCTAAATATAAAATTTATTTTATAGTGCTAAAATGCTATTTTAGGATCGGAGGAGTATCATATTATATATATTTATTCAGGAAAGATTATTTTTTTAGTTCCTAGGGTTTTGATTGAATTAAAATTCAATATTTAAACGCTAAGTTGACGCAACCCAGTCTATGAATCTTGATTCACTACAATTGAGTCCCTAGGATTTTAATATTTTTTTGGCGATATTAATCATTAAAAAATAAAATTGTATATTCCCTTTTTTACCAAAATATATTTCATTAATTTTTTAAAGACTAATATTTGAACTGATTAAGACTAAATGAGCCAAGACTACAGAAGTTGAATTACATCGACTTAAAGTTTATAAACTAAATTATTAATTTTCTCAGTATTTTAATATTCTGATTTTCAAGTGAGAAGAACTAAATATTTAAAAGATTAATACAATATTTGGTTCTTATAGTTCTTATCTTCATTTCCGTCCCTCAAGTTTTTTTGGACCCAAAACTTTTGACCCCTAAATTTTAATAAAAAATTGAATTATTTTGTTTTTTTTAAGAATCAAAACTTATTATTTGAAATTATAAGAATCAACGCTGACATGAAAACGGTAATAAGAATCAAATACTCCCACCGGTCCCTATTATATGGCAATTTTTAATTGTTAGCGTATCACATATTAAGGAATCAGTTTTTTTTACCAGTATTAAGAAATCACAGTTAAAGCATTAAATCCGTCATAAATTAAAATTGTTTTTCATGTTTACCCCAACTTAAAGAATGTAAATAATAGATAAACACACATTTCGATGCGTTTTTTAACACTAAACCTTAATTATTAATAAGAGTAAAATTAGAGAGTAACAATTAATGAATCGATTAATAACTTATATTTAAAATAAAAAATTCTTTCTAGGTGATGCCTTGCCATGAGAGTAAGGGAGAGTTTTTTTTTTTTTTTTTCCAAAGTAGCGTAAATTCGTATTAACCTATATTTGAATAACTTATTTATTACTAATGAATTCAAATAAGGCCTGAATAGGAGTGATAATCAATAATTAAAATCACATTGGCCTTTGCATGTGTATCATATCAGATTTCATAAATCTCATGAAATCACGAATTACATTGTATCAGATTCATTGCATAACTTTACATATTTAACTTTTTCTTCTTTAATAGAGAATAAAAATTACTTTTCAACTATTATATTGTTAAAAATGTAAATTAAATTTAAAAATAAAATTAGACATAACTCAATATCCAGACCATTCACATATATGATACATCTGTTATGTGATAAATATCTAGCCGAAATGGTCCTTGTTCTAGATATGTATCCTTAGCCGAAATAAATGAACAAGGACCATTGAAATAAATGCCAGAAACGGCACATTACTTTAAATGAACTGAATCTGATCCCATAAAGTCTACACTAATTTTTCCTAATCACCGTCTCTCTTGTGGCGACCCAAGGAGCCGAAATGATAAGGGCCTATGTATTAGTTAGGTTGCGTCGCAGTTTAATGTTTTAAAAAATAAATAATAAAAACACCTGCAACTGCAAAACTCACATGCATCCATGACATATCTCTATCAGCATCAGATACGTAGGTTTTTAAAAAAAAAAAAAAAAAGAAATGTGTTTTTTTGGCCCTAAAAACACACAACTTATTGTAACTTGTAAGGTTGTTCATTTGCAGGTCTGGCACTGCCACCAGCTGTAAATAAAGCCCTCTCTCAACTCGCTTCTTCCTTCTTCTTTCCCTCGTTCAGTTCCAATGAAATGGGTTTGTTTTCTGATAGATGGCCATTTCCCCAATCCCTCTCTTCTTTCCATTATTATGCTAATTTCAGCCCTTCTTCACAAGTCACCATTAAAACCCTCTTCCCTCTCTCTCTGTAAAATCATTTCATTAGCAGACCCCACTCCGCTAGCACTAGACCCCATCCAGTGACCAGTACCTCTCTCTTATATTCTCTCATATCAATCAAATAGGATCATTTTGGAAAAAAAACCAATTGGGTGGTCTATTTATTATATTCTTAATTCTTGATTTTTGATTACTGTGGAATTCAAAAACCCTTTTTGTTTTATTTTGCCACCCCTGTTTTTTCTTTGTACTTGGCCACCCCGCCTCTCTCTCTCTCTGTCCCAGCCTCTTCTATATCAAAGAGTACTCATCCCTCCTTTTTCACCCTGAACCTTTATTCTCTCTTTCTCTCCACAAGCTTCTTCAAATCCCTCCGGTGTCTATAAATAGAGGAAAACGTTTTCATCGTGTTGTAGCATTTCCCAATCTTTTTCTCCCTTCTCTGCCTCTCTTCGAATTCCTAACAGGAATTTTGAGCGAAAATGAGAGAGTTTTGGACCTCTTTGGCATCGTTGCTGGGTGTGTTTGCTTTCTCTCAGACTCTTCTTCAGACGGTTTTCCCGCCGGAGCTTCGGTTCGCCACCATCAAGTTCTTCAACCGGATCTTCCACTGCTTCTCCTCGTACTGCTACTTCGATATTACAGAAATCGACGGCGTCAATACCAACGAGCTCTACAACGCCGTCCAGCTCTACCTCAGCTCCTCTGTCTCCATCACCGGAAGCCGCCTCAGCCTCACCCGTGCCCTCAACTCCAGCGGCTTCACCTTCGGCCTCGCGCACAATGACAGCATCGTCGATACTTTCAACGGCGTCAATGTGCTCTGGGAGCACGTCGTCACGCAGAGGCAAGCCCAGACCTTCTCGTGGCGGCCGCTGCCGGATGAGAAGCGAGGGTTCACGCTTCGAATCAAGAAGAAGGATAAATCTCTGATTCTGAATTCCTACTTGGAATACATTATGGAGAAAGCGAATGAGATTAGGAGGAAGAATCAAGAGCGGTTATTGTACACGAATTCAAGAGGTGGGTCCTTGGACTCTCGGGTCACCCTTGGGAATCGGTGCCGTTCAAGCATCCCAGCACGTTCGATACTTTAGCCATGGACCCAGAAAGAAAGGAGGAGATCATGGAAGATCTGCAAGATTTTGCGAATGGCCAATCGTTTTACCAGAAAACGGGTCGGGCTTGGAAGAGAGGTTACCTCCTGTACGGCCCTCCAGGAACCGGAAAATCCAGTATGATTGCTGCAATGGCGAATTATCTCGGGTATGATATATACGACCTGGAACTAACAGAAGTTCATAACAATTCAGAACTGAGGAAACTTCTAATGAAGACGAGCTCTAAATCCATTATTGTCATCGAAGACATTGATTGCTCAATCAACCTGACCAACAGGAAGAAGAACAGCAACAATAGTAGTTCGAGGAATTACTATGATCCCGGTGCTGAGATACGTGGTGCGTGCGGCTCTGCTTGTGGTGAAGATGGTGGGAATTCAATAACGCTTTCTGGGTTGTTGAATTTCACTGATGGGTTATGGTCTTGTTGTGGGAGCGAGAGGATTTTCGTGTTCACCACGAACCACATTGAGAAACTGGACCCTGCTCTGTTACGAAGTGGGAGGATGGATATGCACATTTTCATGAGCTACTGTTCATTCTCAGCTCTCAAGATTCTGCTGAAGAACTATCTGGGATACGAAGAAGGTGACTTGGAGGACTCAGTGATGAAGGAACTAGAGCAAGTTGTCGACAGGGCACGCATGACTCCGGCTGATATCAGCGAGGTTTTGATCAAGAACCGGAGGTTCAAGGAAAAAGCAGTGAAGGAATTGTTAGACACACTGAAGCTGGCAGCAGAAAGGAACCAAAAAAATGGAGTTCTGAGAGGAACAAATGGCGGGGTCGAAGACGAAGAGGAAGAACAAGAGAAAAGAGCTCTGGAGAGTCCTAAAGAAGAGTCGGAGATAGAGGACAGTTGCAGCAAGGGAGGTGAAGAAGCAGAGGAGGAAGAAGAAGAAGGGAAGATCAAATGAATACAACAACACACAAGACAGATTCTGCATTTGATGTTCAAAAAGTTTTCTAAGGGTAAGCTCATGGGAGAGACAATATAAGATAGAATATGAAACAGCCTGTAGTAGTGGGGGCGAAGTAAAGTAACAACCTTTGAAACAAAGTTGAAACATCTGTGACATAAATTATGATTATGATTATTATTATTATTATGATTGTTATTATGATGTGTTTCTTTTCCCTCCTTAGCTATGATATGAATGAAATGAGCATTAGTTAATGAGTACAAGTAGGTAAGATTGTGATATGTAGAATTGGGAAGTGTTTGTGCGTGGGGGGGCTTTACAACCTGACATGCTTGGTAAGCCAGCTGGGATATTGGTGAACATCTGGGGTGCACATGGCTTTGGCGTAGGGTAGGAGCTTGATTTGATGGGGACTTCGTTAGGGGAATATAGCAATTTATAGATTTCTTTCTTTCTTTCTGGTTTATAAGCTTATCTCACTGAAATTGAAAATGAGACTCCTTGATGACTAACTATCTTACTGGGGCTACATTCAACTACCATCATCATCATTGTCGTTGTCCCAGATGGCTCACCTTAATTTGGTGTAATAAGCTGCCCCTGTTCTTGCTTTTTAAAGTTGTTTCATACAACTAATATCACCTTAATGCGTCTTGAGGTAAGGATTGGTGATTGCAGATGAATGATTATTTGCAAGTTGAGGATAATAGTATTTACTATTTAGACTTTAGAGTGACTATCCAGTTGCAAGTAGTTTGAAATTAGCGGTACTGTTTGCTATTATTTATAAGTAATACTTTTTTTTTCAATTTTTACATTTAAAAATTGGCTTGTGACATTTTTATTTAAATTGTACATGCCCGCTTTTGAACTTCTCCATACTTGGGGACTCGTTGACCCATGTGTATGACGTATATTGTGCCTGTTTGCAGAGCGTTTAAGATACAAGTGATAAGTGAGTTTGTGACTTTGGAAGCTGTTTATCACAATTTTTGATACTTATAAGTTAAAAGTTATTTTTTCAAGCATGATTATAAAAGTACGTAAAATTTATTTATGACTTGTATAAAAGTAGTTTTTTAAAATTAAAAAACATTTTTCTTTTATATTTATGATATTTTCATGCTTCTATATATTCTTTATGTTTCCTAATCAATTTTTAATTATTTATTTTTAATATTTTTTTAAACGAAAATAATTTTTAAAAGTTTTTATAATTTTATTTTTATATAAATTATTCAGAATATATCATCTAATTAATTATGTAATATTATTTGGTTAAATTTTTTTACATTATTATGATTTCTAATTTAAATATATTTTATTCATTAAATATAATTTTTTCATATTGTAATAATTTAAAATTATTATATTTTATAAATTTATATTTTTTATTATTTAATAAAAGTCGTATTTATTTAGATCATTCTATAAAATAAACTTATTTATTCAATCATAATCTGAATAATTTTTTTTTTACTCTACAAACTAACTTTTATAAAAATCAATTTAAATATAAATCACATTATTTAATCTAATTTTTACTCAATCTCACTTTTCTAAAAGTCATATTGAGAATAAGTTATCTTTTTTATCGCTAATCTAAACGGACCTATTGACTATTGCTTATAATTTGCCAGATCAATCACCTAGATTATTTTAACATTTTGTTCTTTGAAATGGATATATTCGTGTTAAATTTGAATAACTCAATTGATAATTTGAGGGCCAGCTTAGGAATAAAGATGAGGTTATCTCCATGTGACTGTGGAGGTTGTAAGTTCGAATATGAAGGCTGCGCACACCTATCACTTACTAAACGCGGTCTTCGATCTATCACTTGCTAAACCCGTGCTTCAATTGGATATTCCAACTTAAAATATTTATAAAAAAACATAAAATATGTAGTCTCATTACTATGATCTCCGGTTCTAATTATGATATTTTTTTATAATTTATAAATAATTCTTATAATTAGAATTGAAGATGGTATTAACTATGTACTAATCACAAAAAGTGGACCTCATATCTGTTTTTGGCGTGCGTGTGTGTAAGAGAAGATGGAGATAAGCATGAGTGCTATATTAGGCAATGGGAGGAGGAGGGATGAGAAGTAAAACAGAGAACTTTATTGCATAATCATGAAACAAGGACGCGAGGATCTGTAAGGATTATTGAAAGGAGAAAGGGGTGGGCTGCATATGTGAGAGGCTGTGATTGGATGGAAGGCCACTAGCTAAGCTCTGATGATTAAGTAATGGTTTGCGGATTAAAATATACAAACTGTGCCAGTGGATAGGATTGGAGATTTGGAGGGGGCATTTTGGGAATGGAGGGGGAAAGATTTGTGGGGAGGGAGGGAAAAACCAAAAAGGGCCACAGAGAAATGTGTAGGGAAAAAGGAGGGGCTGAGGTAACAAAAGGCGACTAGAAAAGTCATTAACTTATTATGAGGAAAATGGATGTTGATTTTGATAAGTGAGTTGTAAAGCCTCTCTCTGCTTGTCATGTTTATGCTCTCTCTCACTTTGGCTTTCACCGCCCTCATCTGGCAAACGACAAATTTCGATTTAAATTATAAAGAGAGATTATTGTTTATTGATGAAAAACAATCCTTTGTTTACAGCATTTACTATCCAAAACTACTTGAAATCCCAGTTCATATTGATCATGCACAACACGTTTTTAATTGTGTGTAAATGTTTTATGATTTGTATGTAGTTAAGAGATAGATTTCTTGCTCACAAAGAAGATTTACACATACTAAAATACCTGCCTGATCATATTTATAAGTTATTTTTATCATATCCTACATAAGAAAATTTTAAATTTTATCAATGCTGCCTTAAAATTCAACAAACTTATTGATTTTTATCCATGTTTAATACATATTATACTCTATGAGAACAAAATAAATTCAATAATAAATTAAGGATAAAATTATATATTCATTTGGGAAAAAAAAAGTTCATCCTATGAATATGGCCAAGAAATTTTTTTTCTCTATTCTATTAATAGGACCAGAGTAATATTTTACACATGACTTCTTAAACAGATTTCGGATACCCTAAGCAATGTATTCTGTAATGGAGATTTTTTTAACAGTTTTTTTCTTATAAAAAGCTATAAGAATTCTTTTGTAGTACTTAAAAATATTGTTGTCTGGCTATGCCCTCATAGCCTGCCAAGTGCCAACATATGGCATGCTCTTGTTAACATCAAATCGTGTGTTTGATTATGTATGCCTCCCACTTTATTTGGATTATGTTAAATTGTGTCGTATTAATGCGTAAGCGTAGCTCAGTTTTTTTCGGATATAATTGCCAAATATCTAATGTTATTATGTCAGATTTAATATTTGTTTAGAGGCATATGGTACTACGTGGTTTCTTTATTTATAAGATTTTAATTTTAAATTTTATTGAAGGAAAGTTGAGTATATTTTATTTGATTCGACGACTATTGAGTAAAAATAAAACTTTTTATTCACAGCACATGAATAGAATTTTTAAATAAAAATGCAAACGGTAATCGCATAATAGAAAATGGTTGTAGTTTTGTGACTAGTTGTCTTAATTTGTTTGATAGAAAATGAATTTTTTTAATTTTTTTAAAGATTAAAACATGAAATAAAATAAAACCCGTGGAAAGTTCTAGGAAAGATGACATGTAAAAACGAACGTGTCGCTTTGAGCATAAAATGAATAAAAAAGCTTTTCTTTAAATGATGAAATCCAACTTTCACAGCCTTTTCTTTCTAGGTCGTTTTCTTTTCACTCACTTTGTTCATAGCGCTGCTTTTGTTCTTTCTTTGCCTTTTTTTTTTTTTTTTTTTTCGTTTGCTTCAGTTCATAACACTGCTTTCCGGGCAGCAAAAATGAGAATTGTTAGGGTTATGCTTTCTCCTCCCTTGTTAAAAATATATTATAAATGGTGAAATTAATTAAAAAAAATTTTGGACAAAAACTCAATATACTCCTAGATTTAAGCATATCCATGTTAATTAAACTTGGGTAATACAACTCCGGCTTAAGATCATAGCTGCACATGGTTAGTACTCTAAAATTCATCTGATCATCTTTGCCTTTATACTCCTCTCCTATCCTTAATATAGGACCTAATTGTTATGTTAATTTTGATCCTAAATATAAGACTTATTTTTCATATCTATCAATTTTTTCTAAATTATCCCTATAGTAGATACTCTCTCAACTATAATCAAGTAAGTAAGAGAGGAAGGATATTAAGAAAGATGATTATGGTATTTTAGGAAAAACATGTCATATTTCTTATAATTAACTGACTTACCTAATTTTCTTAATATAATCAAATTAGCTAAACAGGTCTTATATTAAGGATTGCGGGAGTAATTTTTTTTTAAAAAAAATTGGTTTTCTGGTTTTGAAGGTGCAAATGTAATTTTGGAAGGAACTAACATAATAGGATAATCATGCGGATAGAGATACAGATATCATAACTGGGATTAATGAACTTAAAGAGACAGATCCAATGAGTAGAAATTTCCAAAAAAGATAAAAAAGTATAATTTATAGTGTTGGTGGAGTAAGGAGCTATAATATTAATGATCTTGTTTGTCTTGATTCATTTGGTTTTAATATGGTCATTTCAAGGTATAGATGTTAAAGGCATTTAATTTATAATAATGATCAACTTAATGTCATGTGGTCTTATTTATAGGGTAAAAACAAAAATATTTTTAGTCTTATTTATAGGGTATTGAGAAATTTTTTTTATATGAACGTATCGTTTTACCGTTCATTTGTTATTGTGTTAACTTTGTTTATATGAGGTATAATGTATATTCAATAAGGATAAAATTAGAAAGTTGTTGAATTTCAAATGAAAATCAGTAAAATTTAAGATTTTTCATAGTTTGTATAAAATACATTTGAAGTCACTTATAAATAGATTAAATACGTATATTATTTGGTACAACTGTAGGAGTTGTAGGACTTGTATAGATGGTTTTGTTTGTCTTGTTCTAGAATTAGTTTTTGTGGGTTCTATTAGAAGTTGTGTTGTGGAGGAATGACACGCCTAACCCCCCCCCCCAAAAAAAAACACAAGTTGGCAAAATATATACGCGCGCGTGTGAAACTTGTTTTTATCTATTTATACCTATTTTTTCATATTAATATATGCAAAAGAATATCAATTTAATTATTTCACTCAAAGAAACTTAAATAATTTGCATTGTCCATCCGTTGAACAAAATAACACCAATATGATAAAACTTGACACAACTAATAAATGACTAGGTTTCTTAAATATGATATCATAAATTTGAATCATGCCGTGTGCATGGAAAAAGTTTTTTGTTGATAAAGACAAAATTCATTTTGGTAATCTTTATATCTGGAGAGGATTAGTCTCTAACTACTGATCAATGCATATTGCATGATTTGTAACCCATAAAAGGAAATAACAGAGTGGCCCTTAAATCATAAAAGATTAATTTAATGATAATTAAATTTTGTGAAAAGATTTATCCTAACACGTTGAACACATTGGACTCGATTAATAGGAGTTTTCATGATAGACAATATGTATGTTTTCCATGGAATT